AAGAAAAATAAAAAAATGAAAATGTCAGCCACTTCTACCCAACCCCACCCCTACCCAACCCCCTTTCATCTTCATCTTCTTCCCAAAACACATTCTTTCTCAAATCACAAAACCTAATTCTTTTCAAATAACTTGAAGATTAGCTTTTAAAAAAGATATATATACATTTTCATACTAAGAGTGAAGAAGAAAGAAAATTTTGCCGACAATTATTCATTTTTACATTGATGACAAAATGAAATTGATAGCTCAAAAATTAATTCTTTCAAAAATTTTAATGTCATTTTTGATAAATTTAATGGGTTTATATATGAATTTGAGTAAAAATCTTTGTTCAAAAATTGTGATAAACAAATATTGGCTAACTTTTTTTATAGGTAAAAATCATTTGTCTTCTTTCTTCTTCTTCATATTTGTTCCTTATTTTTATGAGATTTGAAATAAATCATACGAACTTTCAAATCTGAATCTTCATAGTTGATTTTCATTTATCTTCATATATGGAAGAAATAATATTCCTTTTTTTATAAAAAGAAAGAAAAACAATGTTGGAGCTAAAATGAAGAAAGTTTTGCAAACTAAAGTATGAAGAAGATGATAGGTAGGGAGTGGGGTCCTTTTCTTTTTTGAAAAAAGTGTAAATGAAAGAAGAAAAATATTTTTAAGTTAATTATAATGCCAAGTGTCAATAAAAGAAGAAAAAATGTAAAAAAATACTATTTTGATTCTTTTCATGCGTTTCAGGGAAGTGCAAAACACATTTTTTGCCATATCAGCATTTTGTGTTTAATAGGTACATGTTTTGAACAATTTAGGTGTTCAATAGGTACAAGTCTTAGTTGAGGTGTCTAAGTGAATTATGCGGACAACTTTAAGGGGCGGTCGATGACTTAAGCCAATTTTTTTTGTGTTAAATGGTATAAGCATAAATTTGACCAACTATTTGGTACAAGGAGGAGTACAACCATCAAATAATGTACCATATTCAGGATCGAAAATAAGGGAGGCTCTTTCCAGACTAGCAGGAAATAATATTGATATATATCTCTCATGTTATCAAAAAACAAGGGAAAATGCATAAGTACCCCTCAGTCTATACCCAAAATTCCTGAGACGCACCTAACCTTTACAAGGTCCTATTACCCCTCCGAACTTATTTTTTAAGTAATTTTGTACCCCTTTTTGGCCTACATGGCTGAGTCCGTAACTTCACCTATGTTAGGCGTGTGGATGCAGTTTTTAGACAACACTGACCAATAAAAATTGTCCTCGTGTTAAAATAAACTTGAAAAAAAATAAACACTAACTCAATTGTCTTCTTCTTTATCAATGCTCTTCATCTTTGAAAAAAAAAGGGAAAATGCATAAGTACCCCCCAACCTATACCCGAAATCCCAGAGACACACATAACCTTTACTAAGGTCCTATTACCCCCCCGAACTTATTTTATATATAATATTCTACCCCTTTTTGGCGTATGTGGCACTATCTTTGTGGGCCCAGTGCATATGAACATTTTTTTCAAGATAGTGCCACGTAGGCAAAAAAAGGGGTAGAATATTATAGATAAATTAAGTTCGGGGGGGGGGGGGGGTAATAGGACCTTAGTAAAGGTTAGGTGTGTCTCTGGGATTTCGGGCATAGGCTGGGGGGCTACTTATGCATTTTCCCAAAAAAAAACCCTCTATTACCATTCAAGTTAAATTGTTCCTTGCTTCAAAAAGTTTCAAAAACAAGACTCCTAGACTCGAAACTCTAAACTTAGTAACTACAGAAATTGATTTCTTTTTAAGAATCCATATCACTGTATTTTTTTTGTTCCCAACCTCTTTCTTTTGACTATTTCTCAGTAATAAATCAGTGTCCTTTAAACGCTGAAGGAGGGAAGTATGTATAGGGAAAAATTGGAGCAGATTAGGGGGGAAAATGGAGTGAAAATTCAAAGAAAAAATTGAATTTCTTGTCTCTTTTCCAAGGCCAACAGTGAAAGAATGGGCAATTTCTAAAAAAGGGGAAAGGGGATGGGGACACGTCTGCTACAAAAAAGGAGGACGACGCGTACGACAGACACTGTTGGCACCGTTGCTGATGTTGACGGGTTGGAGTCGTACTTTTTCCGAGTTTTCTGGATTATTTCGTGTGAAAAAGACGAGGGCAAGTACAGGGGTGGGGTCGTTTGGTACTAGTAGCACCCGTTCCTAGGTTGGCGTGTTTCTTTTTCTAGTTTTTCGCGTTGGACAAGAAGGACATAGGTCGGATATCGGATTTATTGTTGTTGTACGCTGAAAAGTAAATGAGTTTGGGTTTATTGGAGAAATATTGTATTGTTGGTGGGTTGTATGTTGTTGTATTCACTACAAAAAATATGATAGTATATAACTATGATAGTTGAAAAAATGGGGCTCAGCGCGTGTTGAACAAAGCTTTCAACCTATTTGGTTTATATTGCCACATAGGTCGAAAAGTGGTACAAAATTACTTAAAAAATAAGTTCGGAGGGGTAATAGGATTTTAGTAAAGGTTAGGTGTGTCTCGGAGATTTTGGGTAAAGGCTGAGGGGGTACTTATGCATTTTCCCAAAAAAGGATCTGAAAAATACTTCAATTTTGGTCAAATTTGCTGTTGCGATACTAAATTTTCATGAGGACCTATTACCTCCCTAGACTATTTAATATTGTACTTTAAACATAAATTTTTGCCCACGTGGACATAAAAAATAATGCAAAATTATAAATAGTAATGTGTCCACGTGGACGCATATATACCTTTAAAATACACTATTAAATAATTTAGGGGGTAAAAAATACGGTATTAAATAGTCTAGGGAGGTAATAGGTCCTTATGAAAGTTTAGTATCGCAACAGCAAATCCGACCAAAGTTGAGATATTTTTCAGACCCTTATCCCAAAAAATAATAAACTAATACTTTTTAAGGAGGTGCATTTTTGTTTTGACCCAAATTACTCGCTTCATTAGCTGCCCATTACTTCAAAATGGATTATTGTGTAATTCCAATATCATCCTTCCCACTTTTTATTAGTTGAAATACAACAATATTATATAGTCATACAATACTTGCAATTTAAATAAAAACAACAAAGTACTGGCTAGCTAAGTGGTACGTCAAGCACCTTTTTAAGAAATTGTGTTCTATAATATGCTTTCTTTGTTTTAATTTGTATTGTCTTTTCGATTTTGATATTCAAATAAAATTTTCTTTTATAGTAATTTTTTATATTCAATTTGAAATGTGTAATGTAATTATAGGATAATAAGAGGGTCTATATGTAGCTATTAACATCCTATGAGGTGTTAATGAAATTTATTTTCTTGGTTAAATAAATGAAAAACTTTTATTCAACAAGTGGGCATAATTCAAAATCGAATCGGAATCAATAGTGTTTGAATAGAAAAAAAGTTATTAATTTATAGATAATGAGTTATCGGTTTGGCGATTTTGATAAAAAAAATTAATTTTTTTATATTAGATGATCGGTTCTTAACTGTTTGAGGTTTTTTCTTAATGAGTTAATTGATAACCGGATAGTAAATCAATTAATTCTATTTATACCATTTGGTATATAAATTTCTTGAAATAGAGTTTTGTTTCATACTTTTATTTTTGGCTATTTCAGACTCATGATTACTCTACAATGTGATAATGTTTACTTTTGAGCAAAATGCAACATGTCAATTCATGTGCATGGTTCATTTGGTTTGTCTCTTTGTTTCTAAGTGATTTTCAATGATTTTTTTGGTGTCAAATCTTAACGCTTAAACTGATACCAATCAATACCAATAGCATATCTATAAATCGATAACTGATAAAGTTCAAAATTGAACCGAACTGAACCATATACACAGCTCTAGGACTAGAATCAAGTATCAAAACAAAGAAAAGTTAATCAATTGTATACGGTTTATTTTTTAGGGTCCATTTTAAAGATAACACTCTTAATAGTAAGCTTTTCATTTTTATAATTCAAACTCGAGATTTATGAATAAAAATAAAAGATAGCGTAATTACCATCACTAAAAACAGGCAGAAAGTATGGGGGAATTCGAAATTACCAAACTTCTGACATTATTTCCAACTTTTCTGCTGTATTTAAGACCACAACAAAGGACAGAAATGTCATGCACATTCCCCAGTCCATTTTCAACTACTTTTCTTTTCTCCTCCATTTTTGCCCCAATCAGTATTCAGTATATTTTCAGACCAATGAGCAAAGAAGGAAGACATATATACTCTTTACTCTATCGAAAGACTAAATAGGGATACTCCCTCCGTCCCTTTTTAGTTGTCCACTTTAGAAATGACACACAGATTAAGGCAACAATGATTAGCACAGTGAAGTTACAATTTTACCCTTATGACAATTTTTCACTTCAAAATTACAACCACTTATTTGAATTCAAGTGAAATAAATTGGAGGGAAACAACATACACTTTTACAATTTTCAAGAAGTGTAAGTAAGGGTATAATAGGAAAAAATTTGTTGTCCTTTCTTGATTTGTCAAAATGGACAACTAAATAGGGACAACTAAAAAAGAAAATATGGACAAGTAAATAGGGACGGAGGGAGTACGTAATATAATTTTATTCGTCGATTTGATATTTAATAAATATCGGGTTCGTGAATAAAATTATGACACGTATATGTCCGTTAGTATTAAGGGTATATATGTTCTAATTTTTGGATGACAGGGACAATAATGTCTCAAAAATATGACGAGATATCTGCGTACCATTTACGTTAGTATAAGATATATTTATACTTTTATCCTTTTCATAATTCAAACTCGAGAGTTCTGAATATAACATCTCGACTATTATGATCGCTAAAAAACACGCAGAAAGTATGGGAGAATTCGAAGTTACCAAACTTCTGACATTATGCCTAACTTTTCTGCTGTATTTAAGACCACAACAAGGGACATAAATGTCATTTCACATTCCCCAGTCCATTTTCAACTACTTTTCTTTTGTCCTCCTTTTTGCCCCCAATCAAAACTCAGTATCTTCTCAGACCAATGAGCAAAGAAGGAAGAAGAAGAGGAGTAAGATGGAGCTGGACCTCCGCCTTCGTCGGCGCCGCCGCTGCCGCAGCAACGGTGATGGCACTCTCTTCAAAGCCACGGGATCCCGATTTTCATCTCATCTCCATCGATCTCACTTCCTTCAAGCTCAATTTCCCCGTCGTAGACGCGGAACTCATCCTCACTGTTCACGTTACTAACCCTAACGTTACTTCAATCAACTACTCCTCAACAGAAATGTCGATTTTCTACTCCGGCGACCACCTCGGTTCCGCTCGTGTTAAAGCCGGATCTCAACCGCCGCGTTCCTGTCAGGTACTCCGTCTTCCGGCGAGGTTAAGCGGACTGCAACTTGCACATCACGGTAAGGAATTCGTCGCCGATGTAGCGAAGAGGGAGATGTTGTTGGATGCTACGGTGGATATAGAAGGTTTTGCTAAGGTGATGTGGTGGGACCATAAATTCCGGGTGCACGTGGATAGTCACGTGACTGTAGACCCGGTTTTTCTTGACGTTATTGATCAGGAAAATAAATCGGCTTTGGAGGTCTTTGTTAAATAGCGGTTCAGTCCGGTTCACTGTGTTGTGTCGGTTTAATTTGTATTATCACTACTAAAAATATATTTTTATCAAGTCTATAGTTGCAATTCACTTTGATTACATATTTCGTAAGATGGTTTGGGCGTGTGAAGAAATGAGATGTACAATTGTCGAGGTTGGCTACAGGTTGTTTTAGGAGAGACAAAGATAAACCGAAGAAATATTAAAGAGATTGAAGTGATTAGAGGATGTGGAGGACACAAATTAGGAAAGAAGGGTAGTAGGTCGTTGAGTCTTGAGTGTCATATTACTTGCGAATTACGCCCTTCTTTACTAATAGTTTATCTTCAATTTCTATTACTATATGATATTAAGGATTTTATCGCGACTTCTTTGGTTTTGATTTAATTTTTTTACAAATTGTTTTGTAATATTTTTTTCGCCTTAAGGCGAGAATCTATAAAAAAAAACAATTTCTCTACTTCCTCATAAGCATAAGACATGCATATATTATCCTTGGCAAACACTATTTATAAAATTACTTTAAACATATAATGTAATTTTCGGACAAACCTGAACCCTTACATGTGTTAAGCTCTGCCCATGATATGGATAATATTCATGGGGAATAATAGTTTCTCTTTCTAAAAAGTTTAACTTCTAGTTTTTCGATTAAAGTAAATGGATTATGTGCATAATTTTATTTATACATTTTTAAAGATAATTTAATTTTAAATTTATTATTTTATAATTATATAAATATTATTATAATATTTAATATCATAAATTTCAAAGACCCACACGCTTTTGATTTTTTAAAGTGGAGTTTGATTGACTATGGGTTTTCTACATTAGCGGTGTTAATGGCTTTGTGGAGTTTTGTAACAAGAGAAGTTGTGAAGACAATTTTTTTAAAAAAAAAATCTTATGTAAGGGCATCAACAACTTATGACTATGCAACAAAACTCATTTTTGTTCTATTAATATAGTTTTTTGATAAAAAATATTCACGTGAACATGTAATTAGTATAATTTACATAAATCTCATATCTTTAAGAGTTAATTATATTATTTTTCAAATTATAAAAATTCCTTAAAATTTATAGACTCCGAATACATCACTGGATTTTCGAATATATTAACAGACATCCAAATACATAGGGGAGTGGTGTATCCGAGAGAGAAGGGATGTAATAGAGAAGAGATATGACATCCGGACACATAGAAGAGAGAAGTATCAGAGAGGAGAGGGATATATCTGGGAGACAAGGGATGTATCAGAGAAGGAAGGGATGTAAGAGAGAGAATGTATCCAAAAGGGAGCTAGGAATGTATCAGCGAGAAAAGAGCGATGTATCATATAGCGAATTTTAGAAATTTTTTAAATGATAGAGAATTTTAGAAATTATAGTAAAATAATATATGTATTTAGATAATTTTTTCTAATTTATATTGTGAAACGGCCCATGCTTTGGAAGAATGATAAACGAATCGGGACCGAACTTTTTAAAAGTTTTCTAGTGTTTTAGTATATAGTATTTTGTTTGCATTATTTTATGTGACACGATTACCAGAGAATCAAAGTTTTATTTTAATATATATTTTGTTTGCATTATTTTATTTGACACGATTATCAGAGAATCAACTTTTATTTATTTATTTGTGATGATTTCAAACAATTTTTAAATTATAAATTATCACTAGTATATTTTAGGATACAAAAAGTAATTAAAGAGGGGCACAAATCAATTAATTATAATGAAAAGAGGAGTAATACGTTGCAAATTTATCCATTATAAATTTCAAATTCTAAAATTTTAAACAAATTTGCTTTATTAAAATTGTTAGGGCACAAATTATGGAATAAAAAACTTTTAATTTGATTTTCGTTATAACAAATTTATGTCTATTAAAATATAATATAATATAAATAAATACCTCTTTTATAATTAACTTATAAAAAAATTATTTATACTCAATATTTATATCAACTCAATAAGTTACTTTTGCTTTAAATCATTTAATTATCGTATTAATATAATATAATAAGAATAAATATCTCTTCTATAATTAACTTATAAAAAAACTATTCATACTCAATATTTATATCAACTCGATAAGTTACTTTTGCCTTAAATCATTTAATTATTTTAAATTTATGAGATTTGATATAAACGAGAGAATCAATAAATAATCACCCCTACTTAACCATCTTTACTTTTAAATATTCTTTTATTCCTTTTTTCAATATAAATAATTTTATTTCACTTTATAATAATACAGTACCAATTATATTTACTCTTCTCTGCAAAACTTGCAGCTCACAGTGTAAAGCTTCGAAGAGCCAAAAATGGCGGAGAAGAATCGATTAGTCACCGTTGCTGCTCTGCAGTTTGCCTGTACCGACGATGTCTCCACCAACGTCGCTACCGCCGAGAGGTTTTATTTTTCTCTTTCGTTGCACTTTTTGCGTTATTTGTGATTATAGTAGAATTGATTCCTGATACGGTCGCTTAACTAATAGTTATTATGTCAGAAAGTAGCATTTTTTAGATAATAAGTGTTAGTTGAGTTTAATTTATGACAATTTTTTTTTCATTTCCAATAGAAATACAATTAGGGGTTATAGAATAACGTTGAAGACTTATGTTGTGTCCTCATGTTTTATTCGTCGGTAGAGTTGTTTTATGTAATCTAAGAATTTGATTTAATGTTCTGAGTTTTTAGGCTTCTTTCTTTTTATAGCTCATTGAAATAAAGGGGTTGGGATCTGGTATTATTGAACATCTATGTAGCTTAGTGGTTAATTTAGTGGGTTTGAGAACCTCAGATTTAAATTTGAGTGGAGGAAATTTTTATATTTTTTGATAACCGTGTCGGAGCTAGGTTGCGCGCTAAGAACACATGATATCTGTTACTTCTCACAAGCAACAGAGCAACAGGTACCAAGTAACTTTGTCTACCAAGGATAGGATAGGACATATGAGAAGAAATTACCTAGTGTTTGTATCTTTGCTGGGATTTGAACTTGAGACCTCATGGTTCTCAATCCATTTCATTGATTACTCGGTCATACCCTCGGGTGCTTACTGGAGGCAAAATTACTAGGTGATTTCTTGTCAGATGTCCATGTTCAAGTCCTAGTGGACAGATTTATCTGGTATCAAGTATAGTGCAAATTAGTTGAGGTGTGTGCAAGTTGGTAACGACACCATGGTTATCCAGAAAAAAAATGATTGATCATCTATGTGTTGTTTAGATTTGTAAAAGGGAATCAAATTTCTTTTTTTGGTGACATTTACATTTTCTGGCTCTAAGATATTCCTTTGATGCAGATTGGTTAGAGCTGCTCATCAGAAAGGTGCAAATATCATCCTCATACAGGTAACAAACAGCCCAACTTTGGAATATCTAGCTACTACACAAAAAACCACGGGCTAAATACATTTTCTTTTTTGGGGGGAAGCTAATTATTAATTAGGTTTGACTTTCTCGAGCAACAATATTAACTTCTCCCGGTGAGAACATTTCGTCAGCATTGTTATCCTTTGATCACGTGCTGAAACTTTATCTCTAGCTGTTTGTTTTCCTTCGAGTTGTCTTATTGCCTCCTTTATGTGGTAGTCTTCGCTGATGCTCTTGTAAGTAATTTTCAAAAGCTTTAGTGGTCCGTAATGGATTGGAGAAGCGGAGACATTTGGTCTGTTTTATGCATTGGTAGAATGTAACCAAAATGGAATCTAGTCATGTCAACATCATGTTAAATGACACTAGGGGTTGCTTGGCTAGTCGTCTAGTTGAATTCCAGTTCTTAATCCAACTGTCCCTTAGGGATTGGGAGTAGATTTATTTCCATCAATATAATATAACTCTGAGCGAGTTGGGCTGAATTTCGGTGGGTCAAAATGGGCTTTGTTAATAAGTGGTTGTGTCAATGACCCGCCCAAAAGTTACTTGGGTTGAATGGGCTAAAAAAAGGGGTCATAACCCAACCCGTCCAATATTTTTTCTTTTTTTTATGACTATATACATCATATCAAACAAAAAATGTCTTTTTAAAAAATACTTTGACCTGGTTTCTCATGGATAACATTGGCTTACATGCCAGCCTCTTAGATGGTTTGAATTGGGTGGGGTCAAAATGGGCTAAATTCTCCACCCCCGACTTTAAGCACTTTTGGTCTCCATTTACAAACTCTGTTAAATGTGACAGAATAGTCATAGAGCTTTGTTATTTCAAACTAAAAGCATCCTTCTTTAACAGTGTGACAATTCTGCAATTCAAGTGTGTATAGACAATTATATGTACAATTGATATTGTCAGTATCATTCCTAAGCGACAACTAGCCAACTAGTAAAGTACCTCAACATTTTCTGCTCATAAAGGTTTTCATCAGTCCAATGAAACAGCTGCTAAATACTCTTGGTTAGTGGAGAACTGTCTTTATTCATGATATCAAGAACAGTGTAAAAATACCTAAACCCAAAAACATAGACAGAGAAAGGGGGGAGATAAATAACAACTATAGATTAGACCATTATACTAATATAATGAGCAAATGTTTAAAATTTAAGCTAAAATAAGTATTTATCGTGACTAGCACGAGACATGTGCTTACCCCAAAACCAGATGAGAATCTTCACATAATAATATATAAGCTGAGTAAGGGGTATTGAAAGGAAGAAACTGATAAGTAAGTTGACAGGAATTTCTAGGAATCAAAGGGCATGATGTTCAGAACTGAAGTTTCATTGATTGATTACAGTAGGACGATGGTTCTCCTTATTGGTCCTTCATCTTATCCTCTTTGGGTTGTCCCTGTCAACCATTCTTTTCTCTGTCTAAATAAATTGTATGTGTTGTGTAAAAATTCCTTCTCTTCCTCCACTTGATTTCTGTTTCAGTTGCTTATCTAATCACTTCCTTCCCCTGCATCCCCTTCTTTAAGCATTTAATACTTTATCCTGAAATTTCAAAGATTTCCATTTCCTGATAGTTCCTAGCTTCTTCTTGACCTCTTTCGTAGCTCTTGTGTGCTTCTTGGTCCATACAGTGCAAGTGTGG